GTTCTATCTCCTTTTATAAAGCCTCCTCTTAATTGAGCTATGCATGCAGCATTGTCTTCAAAGAGTATTGTGGGTATCTTGACGTCACACTTCAAACCACATCTTTCTTTGATAAAATGTATTACTGATCTTAACCATACACATTCTCTACTTGCTTCATGAATGGCTATTATCTCAGCATGATTTGAAGAAGTAGTGACAATAGACTGCTTCGTAGATCGCCATGATATAGCAGTACCTCCGTATGTGAACAGATAGCCTGTTTGTGATCGAGTTTTATGTGGGTCAGATAAATAACCTGCATCTGCATGACCAACAAGATCTGCACTATCTTTGTTAGAATAAAACAGACCAATATCACTAGTTCCCCTTAGATATCGCAATATATGTTTAACTCCATTCCAATGTCTTCGTGTAGGGGAAGAACTATATCTTGCTAATAAATTAACAGAAAATGCTATGTCGGGTCTCGTAGCATTAGAAAGATACATAAGTGCCCCAATTGCACTGAGATAAGGTACTTCTAGACCAAGAGGTTCCTCATTTTCTTCTTGAGGTCGGAATGGATCCTTACTCACTTCAAGTGATCGGACAACCATTGGAGTACTTAATGGATGTGCTTTGTCCATGTAAAATCGTTTCAAGATTTTTTTAGTATAGGCAGATTGATGGATGAAGACCCCGTCTACTAAATATTCTATTTGTAGTCCAAGACAAATTTTTGTCTTTCCAAGGTCTTTCATCTCAAATTCTTTCTTTAGATATTCAATTGCCTTTTGAACCTCTTCTGGAGTTCCAATGAGATTAATGTCATCAACATAAACAACAAGAATAACAAATCCCAATGTTGTTTTCTTAATAAATATACAAGGACAAATGACATCGTTTATATAACCTTGTTTTATCAAGTACTCACTAAGGCGATTATACCATATGCGCCCTGATTGTTTTAAGCCATATAATGACTTTTGTAATCTGATTGAATACATTTCCCGAGATTTATATGCTTCAGGCATTTTAAGTCATTCCGGAACTTTCATATAAATTTCATTATCTAGTGAACCGTAAAGGTAAGCTGTAACCACATCCATTAGATGAATTTCAAGATTTTCATGTACAGCTAAGCCGATGAGATATCGAAAAGTTATTGCATCCATAACAGGTGAATATGTTTCTTCATAGTCGACACCAGGTCGTTGAGAGAATCCTTGTGCAACAAAGCGTGCCTTGTATCTTACAATCTCATTTCTCTCATTTCTTTTTCGCACAAAGACTCATTTATAGCCAATTGATTTAACATCACTAGGCGTTTGGACTACTGGTCCAAAAACCTCATGCTTAGCAAGTGAATTTAATTCTGATTGAATTGCTTCTTGCCATTTTGGCCAATCACATCTTTGTCGACATTCTTCGACAGATAGAGGTTCAAGATCCTCATTTCCTTTCATAATGTTAAGTGCAACATCATATGCGAAAACATTATCCACTATGATTTTTGATCGATCTAAACTTATCTCATCACCTGTAGAACTTATTGAGAGTTCTTCATTTACTTGAGTCTCGGGTTCACTGATCTCTTCAGGAATATCAGGATTAATCAAATCTTGAATTTCTTCGTGAGATTCTTTTTTAATGTCATTTTTATACTTATTTTTCTAGGATTTTTATCTTTTGAACCCAATGGTCTACCACGCTTCAGGCGTATTTGTGATTCAGAAGCTATGACACTTGTAGATGGTCCTTTTGGGACGTCGATTTGGATAGGCACATTTACTGCAGGAATATGTGATTTTGTTATCCTTTTTGAATCAGTAAATGCGTCTGGCATTTGATTTGCTATGTTTTGCAAATGGATGATCTTCTGGACCTCTTGTTCACACACAGGGGAGCGTGGATCAAAATGAGATAATGATGAAACTTTCCATGCAATTTCACTTTTAAGTTTCTTTTTCTCTCCCCCTAATTGCGAAAAATTTGTTTCATCAAATCTACAATCTACAAATCTTGCAGTGAATAAATCTCCCGTCAATGGTTCAAGGTAGCGAATTATTGAGGGTGAATCAAACCCAACATATATGCCTAACCTTCTTTGAGATCTTGGTGAGCTGAGGTGGTGCTACAGGCACATATACAGCACATCCAAAAATTCGAAGTTGAGCAATATTTGGTTCATGGCCAAACACCAATTGTGATGGGGAGTATTTATTATAATGAGTCGGTCTAAGACGAACAAGTGATGCTGCATGTAAGATAGCATGGCCCCAAACAGTAGTAGGCAACTCACTTTTCATAAGTAGAGGTCTTGCTATTAATTGTAAGCTTAATAAATGACTCAACAAGGCCATTTTGAGTATGAACATGAGCTACAGTATGTTCAACTTTTATCCCTACTGATACGCAATAAGTATCAAAAGCTTGGGATGTGAATTCACCAGCATTATCGAGGCGAATTGTCTTAATGGGATAATCTGGAAATTGCGCTCTTAATCGTATTATTTGTGCCAATAATTTAGCAAACACCAGGTTGCGAGATGATAAGAGGCACACATGAGACCATCTTGAAGATGCGTCTATTAGGACCATAAAATATCTAAACGACCCACTAGATGGGTGAATAGGTCCACAAATATCCCAATGTATTCGTTCTAAAAATTGAGGGGATTCAATGTTAACCTTCATTGGTGATGACCTAGTAATCAATTTGCCTTGGCAACGAGCAGCACATGAAAACTTATCATTTGTAAGAATCTTCAGGTTCTTTAATGGATGTCCATTTGAGTTTTCAATGATTCGTCTCATCATTATTGATCCAGGATGACCTATTCGGTCATGCCAAAGCACAAAAGTCTTTAAGTTAGTAAACTTCTGGTTTACGATAGAGTGTGCTTCAATCATACTTATTTTTGCATAATATAGGCCAGAAGATAAAGTTGATAATTTCTCCAACACATATTTCTGGTCTGAGACAATCTTGGTAATACCAAGGTATTCAACATTCATTTCATTTATTGTCTCAACATGATATCCATTTCGGCGAATATCTTTAAAACTTAACATGTTTCTTGGGGATTTAGAAGAGAACAAAACATCTTCTATGACGAGTTTTGTCCCTTTAGAAAGAATTGTAATAGCTCTTCCGGAGCCTTCTATTAAGTTTGAATTACCAGAAATTGTAGTAACATTTGTTTTTCTTCTAAGCAAGTAGGAGAAGTATTTCTCATCTTTGAATATGGCGTGCGTTGTTCCACTATCAATTACACAAATATCTTCATGATTGATCATTGAGGTATCCATATACTCTTCAAGATAAAAGATATAAACGAAATAAACATTATAATATTATTACTAAAAAAAACATTACACAACCTTTTAGTTATTTACAAGTTTAGGAAAACATATTCATACTAGTTCATACAAACGACGAAAATGAAATATATTTACATTATCACAGATCCATCACCTATCAGGTGATCTATCTTTCCTTCGGGATTCTCAAAGAAATCCGCTACATCTAGATGCATGGGTTCAACAGTATCTTCCGAGATAAAGTTGGCTTCAGCGTTATTTTTCACCTCCTTCAGGGAAGCTTGATATAGCTCAACCAGGTGTCTTGGTGTACGACAGGTACGTGACCAATGTCCTTTTCCTCCACATCGATAACATTTGTTGTCTGAATTTTTCTTCTGCACTACATCATGTTTTTCATTCTTCTTTTTACACTGCTGGTGTTGAAGGTTATTATTTAGTGTAAGACGATCACCATAATTGAAATTTCTTCCTCGATCACGACCACGACCACGACTGGGGCCACGACCTTTTTCATGCCTAGATTGGTGAAAATTTGCGTATTTACTTCAGGAAATGGCATAGAACCAGTAGGTCGACTTTCATGGTTTTTCATCAGTAAGTCATTATGTTGTTCAGCAACAAAGAGATGTGAAATTAATTCGGAATATTTTTTAAATCCCATTTCTCGGTATTGCTGCTGCAGAAGCATACTTGAGGCAGGAAAAGTGAAAAATGTTTTCTCCAACATATCATGGTGAGTGATATTTTCTCCACATAATTTTAATTGTGAGATAATTTTAAACATGGAAGAGTTATACTCACTGATAGATTTAAAATCTTGACGTCTCAAGTGGATCCAGTCATAACGTGCCTGTGGAAGGACGACCAACTTCAGGTGGTCATATCTTTCTTTTAAATTGTTCCACAATACCAGAGGATCCTTAACAGTGAGATATTCCATTTTCAAACCTTCATCAAGGTTATGACGGAGAAATATCATCGCCTTGGCACGGTTTTGATTCGATGCTTCATTATTTTCTTGGATGGTGTCTGCTAGACCCATCGCATCAAGATGAATTTCTGCATCGAGTACCCATGATAGATAGCTTTTTCCCGATATGTCTAGAGCAAGAAATTCAAGTTTAGAGAGATTAGACATTATTAAGAAAAGGAAATTTATACCTTCGAGGCTTTTAAAATCTTTACTTGAACTGGCAGAGACTCGTGCTGATAACGTGTTATATAAAAACTTACTAAAATTAATATACTAAAAGAAGGAAAATTTAGAAAGTAATATTCTTTCAAAGGTGTATGTATATGTTTCATACAGTGGCTATTTATAGCCATACATTAACATCAATAATGAGAAGGTGTCATATGACATGTATACACAATCAATAGTGATGCCACCTTCCAATTGTTGGACCCACGTGGCACTCCAACTATTTTACAACATGAATGAAGTTTTATAATCAATGAATTTTTATTTGACATGTATATTTCTAGAATTTAAAATATTTAATTAGTTATAAAATAAATTAAAATTCATAAAGTTTATGATGTGTTATTTTTTCTTCTCATACATGTCTCCTATTTGGATATGGGACTTGTGGTGGTATAAACAATGGTTCCAAGAGTAATACAAGTTGTACCATATGTGGATCCACTTCATTAAATAAATAATTGTAGCACAAGTTATCCTTGTCTTTCAACACGTGTACTTTATACGAAAACAGGTATTCTTTTTTTCTTATTCCCAAATCCTAATGTTGGTTGAATTCCTTTTACTTCTACTTTAGCATTTCTTGTATGTGTTCTCCTTCTCAGAGTTTTTCGCCAGAAATGCATGAAAAATGAGGCCGAAAGGTTATAGACCTTTTGATTTTGCTCGATTTCATCTAGGGAGCCATCATTTTACTTGTGAAGTTCTTTTAGTCTTTATACCTTTTTCTTTTCATTTTGATGTCTCTGGATAAGATTTATTCATATTACATTTTTTTATTACAAGACTTATACTTGCTTATTGCCTGTGTATTCAAATGCGAGATTGCAGGTTGATAGAATGGGAGGTGCACCATGTAGAATTTCTCCTATTTTATATGCAAATTTCATTTGGTTGATAGGTTCATATAGGGATTCTGCTAATTTTTTGGACAGTAATTGGTTCAAGGGTGAATGTGGCTAAGAGGGTAAAAAGACTTCTAAACTAAAAGCTACAAGTCATATCCAACTTTTAGATTTTTGTCTTTGTCTTTTCTGGCAATCAAACATTACAGAAAATGAGCTTAAATTCAAAAGCATCTAAAGGAGTATTGTGTACAACATATATGCAGACCATTTTCTATGGGGATTAGATGAAAGGTTAGAGAGTTACCTAAATTCACATATGTGCAAAGAAGAATGATAAAAGTATCTGACAGAGGTATTAACATGTGAAATCCTATCAACTGTGGAATCAAAATGAGTTGGCTTCTTTCTACATGCATCAACTTAAATGATCTGGTGAGTTCTGCTTTCTCTTTAACATATGCAGCACTGAAGAAGCCGAATTGCTAAAAGATAAAATATTAAAGTTCGCCAATGCAATACATAATTTTATTTACTCTATCACCCTTCTTGATGGAATATTTAAATAGTCTTTGATTGATTTTTAGCTTGGCAGGGAGGGCAAAGCGAAGCACATTAAATACTTGTTCTAAGATTGTCATTCAAACTACGACAGCTAGCATTGCAAAATGCAACATGACTACACTTAAAGTTGAATGAGTGATTCAATTAATATATAAGCATGCTCTTTTCAAATAAACAAGTTTATTAGTGAGAACAGAATGCACAAAAACTCATAAGTGTAATCCATTGTCGAGCTTAATTTATTTGCTCTATAATGTGTACCTTTTATGTTACACGTTGACGTACAAACTATACGAGTGAAGAGGACATACTAGCTTTCTTGAAAGAAGCAAAAATTGACTAAGCCAAGAAATTTTGTGAAGACAATAGAGAATCTATATGATAAAATCTCTACAAAAGTATAACAAGTACCAATTACTTTGGTTGTACGTTTCAATCTGTCGACATGCCTATTACTGACTCCGGCAGATCTGTATCAACCATAGCTTAACCATTTTTACACGTTCTGCTCAATTTTAGTTCTATGTTTTACATCGCTATGTTGTAATTTTTTTACTTCTTCACTTCATTACCATGTAAAGCACACAGAAATAAAATGTTGGGCCGGTGTTCCCATCTAGTGTATATATTACCCTTTTTTAATAAGTGAACAAGGGATGGACGAACACTGCTATCATTTGGTTGTACTAAAAGCTTTGTGAATGGTACATCATATTGACTGTTAATACGTGTACTAAATTACTGGTTATCTTCTCCATACCAGTTATTAAGAAAAAGTACTCTATACTATTTGATTTTGATTTCAGGTCTGAATCTTTTCGACTTATTATTCAACTGGTGTGATTTTTCATTCAAATTCGCTGATCTATTTGGCCTTTCTGTTGTAATTATGTTGCATGCACTGAATTTAGATTTAATCTAATGTTGTTTTGCTCATTCATATCTTGCAGGGATGAAGCATAAGAAATTCAGATTCAAAAAATCTACTCCATCTACAATTTTGATACTGAAAACAAATTATACTCTTTAACTATGCTTCATCTTCTCGAATTCCGATTGTAAGAGTCTGTTTACTTTTTCCATAGCATAACACTATACTTGTTCATATCCGACACTGTCCATGATCAAATTACTTTTCCTTTTGTGGGTTTCAAATTTCGTCAGCTTAATTCTTCATGTATCGAACATTATGGAAGTTTCCACATTTCTCTATCTTGTTGTTTATCTTAACTTTTTGTGTTTATGAGACTGCTCTCTCATTGTCTATAATAACCAAAAGAAGAGTTGGGTTGCTTCTGCTTTTACTGAAATTCTGTATACATCTCAACTATTTTTCGATTTTCTCATAAATATGTGTAAGCTCACTGATGGAGCATGGTCTCTAATGGTGAACATGTTTGTTGCTCCTGTTTTCTTATTCATTCACAATGCTCAAAAAACTTCTTAAAATGCTTTGCTAATAAATATTGATGCAGCTAAGGTGTTCGATAGTATGATAAAGCACTAGACTGAGCTAAGGTGTTCCATAGTATGACAAAGCACTAGACTGAGCTAAGGTGTTCGATAGTATGATAAAGCACTATACTGAGCTAAGGTGTTCGATAGTATGACAAAGCACTAGACTGAGCTATGGTGTTCGATAGTGTGACAAAGCACTAGACTGAGCTAAGGTGTTTGATAGTATGACAAAGCACTAGACTGAGCTAAGGTGTTCGGTAGTATGACAAAGCACTAAACTGAGCTAAGGTGTTCGATAGTATGACAAAGAACTAGACTGTTTCAAATTTTCTTATTTTTCTCATTAGGTTTACTGCAACATATTCCTTTGCCAATCAACAATCTGTAAGTTACATTACTTAGTTTTATTGGACAAGATTTGTGGTTATGACCAAAAAATTCATTTGAGATGTGTATAATTTGTTTAAATATGGTTCATTTATACAGTACATGCCTTCTAATTAACGACGCTTGTTGTCCCTATCATTGGCACGTAGGAGGGCAAATAGAGGCAAGAGAGACTCAACTCTCAAAAATTTGTCTCTCAACCTCTTCCGAAATCTGTGTCTCAACCTCTTCAAGCTCCATTTATGTGAAACTGGTTAGTTTTTCAATTTTTCTGTTCTTTTTCTTATTGTTTATCTTTTTATACCAACTTTTTGTCCATCAAAAATGTAGATTATAATGAGTGAATTTTAGAAGAAAAAAAAAGAATGACTATTGCTTTTGATATATTGAGAGCTATTTACAACGGGAAAGTCCACGAAAAAATGGCAAGTGCTGCATACCTTGAAGGAAGGTGGCAGGTTCTATTATTTTTGCTAAATAGTTTGGATCTCACTGCTTGGGTTAGTTGTTGAACTTTCTTCATGACTTACTCCTGTTTTGCTCAATTTTTCAAACTATGAAATTTCCTATTGATGGATATGTGATTGTAGTTTATGGATTGAGAGCCCTAAGATTTTTAATTCGGCTCTCTAATTTCACTAATGTAATCGTAGATAGTAATTTACATAAATGCATATATACTTCAATCAACTTAGTCTTAATCAATTACCTGAAGAAATTGGTAATTGCTTTAAACATCCTATAATGTTGATAAATAGGGATGATCGAAACAATATATTAGGTACAATGTATTCTAACTTAAAAGGTCATAATTGCTTCACTATTGCAAGGTATTCAATTGTGTTAAAGCTGAAAATACATCTATTTACCTGTAACAATGCTTCACCTTTTCTGTCTCGCTGTTTATATAATACTCCTATCATTTCAATTTATTTTTCCTATTTTGATTTGACACGAAGTTTAAGAAAATAAAGAAGAATTTTGAATTGTGTGGTCCTAAGGGAAAGAGATATTCTTTGGGACTAAAAGGAAAGTAGGACAAATAAATTGAAATTGATGGAGTAGTTCGCCTTTGTAAGTATCACTTGTGTAATAATAACTGTTATGTTCAGTTTTTCGAAGGAAATGAGGCATGAGACAGAAAGATGATTTCATGAATTTAGACATTCATCCGTAATTGCATTTAATGTCGTTTGAATTCCCGTGGAGTTGATGTGAAAAATGTAGCTATAACATAGAGGAAAGAACATACTGATGAAAACACCTCTGAAGTATGGCAATGCCAACATTAATGGCCTTGGTTTCTTCTCTTATTTGATGTCTGTTTCTCCCTATCTGTTCCCAAATTGGATACCTTCCATACATGTTTTTCTAAGAATATGTCAGTTACGAAGTACATGTCTAGCTTAAGTGATGATTTAACAGCATGGTGAATTTTTTTTATCAATTGATATTATGTTTTCATTCACAGTGATGTTAATCAGGCTTTCGGTGACCAAAGCGATGGATCCCTTGGAGTAAGGGTACACCTTTGAGATTATTGTTCTGTTACCAATATCTCAAAATCTTTTCACAATACAATACATTATAACTGGTGATCTCACTTTAGGCTCGCGAAAAGAGGGCAATTTGATTGCTACACCCTTTACTGGTTAGTTTGACGCGTTTGTTGCTCTCCTTTATGTATAGATCATACGACTAAATTTGCTTATTGATTGGAAATTTATAAAGAGAAGTACAATATTTATTTATCTCTATAACAAAAGATTCTCTTTCAACTATTTCATGGAACATAGTAAGTGTGAACATAATATGAGACCTACTAATTTTATTTTTTATTTTTAAAAAAGACATGTGGAAAAAGATTTTCAAATATTGATTCAGGAACTTTGACCTAAATAATCTATTATTTCATTAATATGAAACCTTCAAATTTTACAAAACTAATATAAATGTCGGTAGTAATGTATTCGGCTATATTTTATTTTCAAAAAATAAATGGACTAAAATATTTGGTAGACGGCGTTTAAGAAGTATTATGTTACACTAACATTTTAGGCTTAAGACGTTACCGTCAGTGACGTGTCTCTCTGTAAATCTGTCACTTTCGAATCTTTGTAAATTTGAAAGGGAAAACCTTATTGTCAGTGACGATTCTGTCAAACAAAATCACAAGTCTGCCACTTGAGAATTTTTGTACGAAATTTGATGTCTAAGATGTTATTGGGAGTCATGTTTTACATATAAAACATTACTTTGAGTAATGATTATATCAAATTAAATGTCTGCCACTTGATCTACATATAAAACGTTAGGAGTAATGATTAAATCAAATCAAAGGTCTGCCACTTGAGAATATTTGTATAAAATGTGATGTTAAAGTCGTTATTTTGAGTCACGTTTTAAGATTAAAATATTACCGTGAGTGATGATTTTATCATGTCACAGAGGCTGTGGAGGTTTCTTGTTGATTTGACCTTCCAATAAAACGTTACTGTATGTTACATTTTAAAACTTTAAAATAAATTGCTAAAGTGTTGGCTACAGAACATTATAAAAAATGGTCGTGTAGAATGTTTAGCAAAATCAAATAATGTTCTACAAAACTTCTGCTTATATGCCTTATTGTTGAATCAATACTCACAAAATTTTAATAGGTATGACTTGTCAATATATTGGAATGTACTTATAACATATTTTTAATAACTATAATGCATCTTATTTTTGTGTGTAGGATTTTTGATGGCTAATTTTGAAGATAACGTGATGATTGGTTTGTATTGGGGCGGTGAAATAATCACGGAAATGAACAAATTTTGATATAATGAATGTGCCAGAATGATTGTTAGCATGTCTATTTAGATTAACTACGTTGAATTAATTAGATTGTTGCATGAGAAAAGGGGGACTGATGGAGAAATATTCAATTGGATATTTCTGAAAAATATCCATGCTCATTTCAAGGTAACATTATAAGATTTATTGAGTTCAAAATTGAGAATGACCAGTCTTTGGTACAATTTCTTGCCATTCCTTCGAATTTTTTTAACAAGATTGATATAAATCTTTTGGAGATGTATATAAAGATTAAATCAATAAATCAAGATAATCTATTTCAAATGAATGATCAACAATGGCTATCTCAAAATTATGGATTTGTCGCATTCAGTCAGCCTCATTTGGCATACACTGCATCACATGGTATTCATCAATAATTTGATGAAGGCTCAGATATTCAAAGACATATTGAGAGTAGCCATAATCAATATGAAATCAGGTAAAGTAATATTTTCAACTAATTTATTTAATAGCATGAAAAATTAATTTATTTTTATTTTTTGTATTTCATGAAATTATTATTATTATTTTTCTACAGAGAAGATGAGACCACCTTTGATTTGTGTAATGACGCACATGATCAAAGAAGTGTTGAAAGTTCGGAGGAGGATGAGCCTTCAGAAGATGACGGAGAGAGTGAAGTCATTGAAAGTGAATCTGATGAAGATATTGGAGACTTATCTCAAAATGAAAGTTCAGTAAATTTTCAAAATCAATTTGATGAAATGTAAAATAATGGTATACCTTACTTTACAACATTGGAGACTGGGGAAGATATTTTTATCTCTACTCGTGAATTTGAAATAAAATGTTATTCTGTTTGGGTCGAGGATGCAAAAAAAGATTTAAAAATAAATATGTGTTTTAGTAGTAAAGTTAAGTTGAAACGCGCTGTGACAATTTGGAGTTTGCGCAAAAATAGAGAATTTAAGGTTGTAATATCAACTAAGAACGTATGGACTGTGAGATGCAGATTTTATGATTCTTTAGGTTGTCCATGGTTTCTTCGAGGTAAGGTTGGAGGTAGCCTTTGGAAGATAGGAAAGTATTTTAATAATCATAGATGTGAGACTGAAGGGCTTACAACAGGTCACATTGTCTTAGGTACCAATTTAATTGCATCTCTATTTTTAAATCTATAAGTAAAAATTCAAAATTGTTGGTAGTGGATGTCATTTCTAAGGTTCATGAAAAATTTGGTCATCAAGTAACATATAGAAAAGCGTGGCTTGGGTGTCAACGCGAATTTACATTGGTATATGGTGATTTTCAGAAATCATTTAGTGAGCTTCCTAAGTTTTTTGCAGCTTTTCAATACTTTAATCCTGGAATAGTTATGGAATGAAAACATGAAGAGTCAATGAGTTTGCCAGAGGTAAAAACTTTCAAGTTTGTATTTTGGGCTTTCACCATGCATTGATGGATTCCAAACTTGTCATCAATTTTTTTTTGACATGTTGGATAGCATAGTGACTACCTATAAAGAAAATATGAATGTTCTATTATTCAAGAAGAGAGTAAAATCAAATAAAAAATGTAAGATGTTAAAGTACTAGTCCCACAAGGCTTAAGTTTAATTTACGCTTCTCCCTCCTTGATGGTTCGCTATTTTGAATAGTCGTATCACCGCCTTCATTTGCATCCTTTGGATCATTATCGTCCATATCATGATTCGGGTCCTTTAAATTATTAGTGGCATTAGGGGTCTCAATGATCAGTGGCACAGGCGATGAGGTAAAGTTTGGGACATTCTCAAAATTACCAATGACATTCTCAAGTGATGAGAGACTTTGATGACTTGATATTTGTAGAGTCTGTGGCGTCACATATGACATGATATCTGTTTGTGACAGTTGATATGTCATATCTGATGCCTGAGTGAAATCATGAATGCAACCTCTTGAAATAGAACCAATATTACAATTGGATGTTGCTTGATCATCTTCTGAGGCTTCTTGGACATTTTGTGTGGCCTGATCCATTTCAACATGTGTTTGTCCTCTTTCAACATCATGTTTTCTCCTACCAGCAACACCACCTTTTCCTCGCCTACGAACTGGGTGATGTAACTGACAGGTTGTACCACATCTCTTCTATAATCGGCTGACACATGAACCCTGTCAGCCTCATGGACATATTTCAAACAATCAGAATCTTGATCTCGCACCATTTTTCTAAACATGTATAAGGCCTCATATGATGGAATATCACCAAGTGTTTTAGCTTCATCAACCATCGAATGAATATGACGCACCTAAATAAATTAATGTGAAAGTTATTTAATGATGCACCAATAATCTAATTATTTAGATCGGACTGACACTTAAGCAATGAATTCACTACCAACTAAAATCTGCAAAAGAGATCTAGTAATTAAAGTGCTACTTAATAAAAGTACTTACTACTCTACTACCATCCTTGCGGGTGACAATTACTGCTTATCTTTTCTTGTGCAACTGGTTGATTCCAATCATTCATAAAAATGAAAATAACATCTACATCTCCTCATCAGTAGCCCCACTTCACTACTCTCACTCTTGTAATTTTCCTATATATATTACCTTAAGCATTTTTCTAAACACTTAGCAGTGTACCAAGAACAATGAAAAACTTGCCAGAAACTACACTAAACAAAATAAATGACACACCAAAATCAATAAAGACAAATGAATCACTTAGCAACAACAACACTAAACAACTATAATCAATAAAATGGCATACCATAGTTTCATATGCCGTCGAATTAGGCACATAACCTTGTTGATTTTGAGGACGTGAATTAGGATTACCAATAATAAGACAATTAATGTGCCTGAACCAAATAAGATATGGATCATCATAGCTAAGTGGTTCATTATTAACCGGTGCATCACAACTATATTGGAGACGTTGGTTCCAAAATGATAACCAATGTGCATGTTCCAACTCCCACTTTGTATGTGGTCTTCCCCAATGATCATGGCGAAAGTGGTGGGAATCAAATGGTAACGGAGTTGGTATAGCTTGTTGTAGTCCAAATTGTCTCATAAGACGATCTGGCAAATGAACCTCAACCATATACCAACAAAATATTGGAACCCTAACTCGCCATATGTCTCGTCCAACATGACAATAGAGAGGAATACTCTCAATTCAGTCATTGAAATACGGTTTCCAAATAAACTACATGTAAAAGGAAAAGAGCAAAGTGAGTCTTTACATTTACAATATTTATAAATAAGTAAAAACATTGTACCTGATCTTCTATCATAGAGTCAAGTGCATCCCTATAAACTTTCAACACATGCTTGGTAGTATTTGTCCAACTAAGATGCGGAAACCATCTAGTAGCTTGTGGAACCCTAGGAAAACCAACATGAGAAATAGTTCTCGCATCTATGTGGGCTACTATTTGAGGACGGAGGACTATGACTCTCTCTCATGTCCAAATCTGGGAGAAAGAGTTTTAAGATTACATCTCTAAAAAATTTCATCCTCCAATAATACTATAGAGACAAATTGAAAGAAATATAAATAAGTTATATGTACAATCAGTAGGTATACCTGAAGTAGTGGCAAAAATCCGGCTATCTCATTTTGGTTACTCTGTGAAGCTTTACAAAGAAAATGATACAAGTATGCCAAGGTCGCACTCCCCTAACTATAAGATCCAATTTTATCGATGCCTTTGAGCATAGACAGGTACATAAGCTTAAAATAACCACCAGATGTATCCGCCATCATCATACCTGCAATCATCCAGAACATGTAGTATCTTGCCTTCTGATTTACCATATCTTTCGTTGCCATGTTCGGCAATTGTGGTTGGCTTAACATGTGTGAATTAAATGCAGCGACCTTGATGGAATTTGGTTTGAAGTCTTCACGAGAAGGAACAAAACCTAATAATCTTTGACAAATGTTTTGCCAATCCCCTATGGTCCTTATCATTTCATTACCAAGTACTGGATCACCATTCAAAGGTAATCCATACAACACCCCTACATCCTGCAAGGTAATTGTTGCTTCTCCTGTTTAAAAGTGAAAAGTATGAGTTTCGGGACGCCGCCGCTCAACTTGTGCAATGATCAAACTACGGTTAATAGCAGACTGATTAAATTTGTAAACACCATATAATCCAGATATTCTAATTACTTCAAGAACTCGTGGATGGATGAGATATTTCTCTATGAGCTTCCAAAAATTTCCATCTTCTCTCCTTGTATTAAGAATCATATTAACATTTCCTTCCCATATATCTTGTGATCTATGAGTAAATTGTCCCGTTAATACATTCGATTCCAATGGACCGGGATCCAACTTGCATTCTAGTATTAGCCATAAAAATACCTATGAAATACACATGAAAGTAAACTTAAATGTTAGCCTGAACTATTATGTAGTTTTTTCTTAGCGACATACTTCAAAAGTGATGTAAAGTTATGAAATCACATTTAAAAGTTTTAAGGTCGTTCTCTTTAATTTGAAAGTGTGTTGATATAAGACAAACCATCTTAGACTACACTAAGCAACAATAGAACTCGAGTTAACCTTTTCTTGATATATGTTAAGAATCAAAATTTGCAGAGAATTGTTTGAAGAGATGAGACAAATTTGAGGAATCACAGAGAAGAATATAGATTATCATTATAAGATAGTTTCATTGTATGTTTACATCTGTACAGTAGGCTATTTATATAAATGACTAAAGTGCTAATTACAATAATCAAAGTTAACCAACTAATGAGCTACGCAATTCAGGCTAACAAATTAATTATGTTATGTAACTAACTAGCAAACATATACTAATCTAAAAGACAATGTAACAATGACTACAGCTATTCTCCCAATGCACTGCTATGCAATCTTCCTCAACAATATACAATTGTTACAACTTTAAATAACAATTCTGAATTCAGTGGCCATGAAAGGAATCCTTAAATCAAACTAAACAAAACAAGTAACCAGATAACAAATTATTTTGAATCCAATTTCATGAGTTGGTTGGCACGTTCTTCATTTATTCAAGATAGAATCCTACTTACGATTCAATTCAATTCCTTCGTAAAAAAAACATACCTTAAGCAAAGAAATTACCTCTTGTTGGGTTATGGGTCTTTTTCCCTTCCTATGTGGATAAATAAAAGCCCAATTTGGACCAACCCATTTTTGTCCATAGGCCCATTTTTATGAGGTAAATATAAGCCTTTTTAGGTCTTATTTTCCAATATACAGAGAGTTTTTTCAGCAGCCAAAAAGAGAGAAAAAGAGCAGTTTTTCGCAGTCAAAATTCAGCCCTAACAACCAACTTTCAAATTGCGATTCCCGCTTCGTTTCTTGTCCGATTGAGCTGATTTTTGTATAGCATATTATATTCATCTCAATATTTGATTAGGAACTGACAGAGTTGGATTTGGTGGTCTGCAACTTCAGTTTTGCTGTCGTGAACAGTAGCTGCGAAATTGGTGATTTTGCTCCTTTAATTCTCTAGATTTGGTGCAATCTTATTTTGTTATTGCTCGTTGTTTGGCACTTGTTTTGTGGCCAATTTTGGAGAACAATATTGTAACTCTTGGTGATTATAGTGGAACTTTTGGTCCCGTGGTTTTTTACTCTACACATCCAAGGGTTTTCCACGTAAATCTTGGTGTCTTGTGTGATTGGTTTATTATTGCCTTATTATATTTGTTTGGTTGAATTACTTGCTGCTTTACTATCATATTTCTTGTGGTTGTTTGTCTTCTCTTGGTTCAAATCGAGATAGAAAGTATAGACTTGGGTATTCTTCCGTTGTTATCCTGTCAGACATTCTTTGTTAGTGCCTTGTCTTTCCCAACAAAGTAGTATCAG